GGGGGGCTGAGGACAGTGTTCTGAAGAGGGGCTGAGGACAGTGTTCTGAAGGGGGCCGAGGACAGTGTTCGAAGGGGGCCGAGGACAGTGTTCTGAAGGGGGCCGAGGACAGTGTTCTGAAGGGGGGCTGAGGACAGTGTTCTGAAGAGGGGATTGAGGACAGTGTTCTGAAGGGGGACTGAGGGCAGTGCTCTGAAGGGGGGGGGGGAGCAAGGGCAGTGCTCTGAAGGGGAGGGTGAGGAGAGTGCTCTGAAGGGGGGGTGAGGACAGTGCTCTGAAGGGGGGGTGAGGACAGTGCTCTGAAAGGGGATGAGAACAGTGCACTTATGGGGGGGATGAGAACAGTGCACTTATGGGGGGGTGAGGACAGAGCTCTGAAGGGGGGGGGGGGTTGAAGACAGTATTCTGAAGGGGTCTGGGGACAGTGCACTGAAGGGGGGCTGAGGACAGTGTTCTGAAGGGGGGCTGGGGACAGTGCTTTGAAGGGGGGAGTAAGGGCAGTTCTCTGAATGGGAGGGTGAGGACAGTGCTCTGAAGGGGGGGTGAGGACAGTGCTCTGAAGGGGGGCTGAGGACAGTGCCCTGAAGGGTTTGAGGATAGTGCTCTGAAGTGGGGGTGAGGACAGTGCTCTTAAGGGGGGTGAGGACAGTGCTCTTAAGGGGGGCGAGGACAGTACTTTGATGGGGGGGTGAGGACAGTGCTCTGAATTGGGGGGGGGGGGTTGATGATAGTGCTCTGATAGTGCTCTGAACGGGGGGTGAGGACAGTGCCCTAAAGGGGGGGATGAGTACAGTGCCCTGAAGTTGGGGATGAGTACAGTGCCCTGAAGGGGGGGCTGAGGACAGTGCCCTGAAGGGGGGGGCTGAGGACAGTGCCCTGAAGGGGGGGCTGAGGACAGTGCCCTGAAGGGGGGCTGAGGACAGTGCCCTGAAGGGGGGGCTGAGGACAGTGCTCTGAAGGGGGGGGTGTAAGGACAGTTCTCTGAAGGGGGATGAGGACAATGCTCTGAAGGGGTGGGGTTACAGTGCTCTGGAGGGATTCCCCCATCATTGTTGATGGGGGAATCCCACCCGCAGAGCTATTGTGTTCTCCTGGCTGGGGGGCACAAGTAAGAGCCGCCCCTGCCGGGAGAACGTAGCGATTATTTCTAGCGGCTATAACGGCTAGCAATAATTGCATGAAAAATCTGACAGGCTGGTTGTACCCAAGTTGTACAACAATCAGTTTGGGTACAATCAGCCTGCACACAGCTGAACCAGCTGGGATACAAACCATCTATGGCCGGCATAGGTCACTATTGCAACACTTGGAGTAAGAATGCAGACAATAAAACAGTTTTTGATTCTGTATGGTATTAGGAGTTTTTAGCATGTATTGGAACTCTCACTTTTGTATGATCTACATATTTCATAGTGATGTCCTGGGCTCTACTTGTTAGGGACTGGTAGTTTAAACTCAGAAATTGTTTGTTAAACAAACAGGTTATTGATATTGTCTGGTGAATGACTATACGATTATTATCATTTAGACTGCCAACCATATGCACGGTGAGCACCTTACTCAATGATCATATAATATATTAGAATGTAGTGGACTCAATTCTGGTAAAAATGGGTACAATGTACATTTGGATCATCTTTAGTAAGAGCAAATAATGGTTTAATCTCCATTGGTGCAATTCAGAAGGGATGTGACTGCTACACTGTAACTTCTTCTGTCTCTCATTGTGTATTCTTATGATATGGGGTACTTACCCTCAACAATACCTTCATTGTAATAGGGGAATCCATTTGAGTCACCACAAAGGCCACATGTATGATTTTTATATTTGTTTGGTATCTTCACCTACATTACAAAAAAAGCAGATATATTGAACAGAAATGTAAACTGGTATATTTCAATGTATAATTCAGAGAAGGCACCATTTTGTTACATGCAAACAGTGTGCCTGAATCTGAGCTCAGATTGCAAGAACATACAGAATAGAGGAGAGAGCAGTACAAAAGAAAGATGGGCAACTTTCCAGAGTTTTTTTTTCTCTTCAGGGCTGTGCCCTAGGTGACGCTGAGTTTGGAAAGCTTCTGGACTATTGAATCTATGATTTTCTGGAGGATGCACATATTATACTAAAGAGAACTGTGACAAAAGTAAAAAAAAAAACTGTGGTTCCCCATATAGAGTAAATGGAGCTAAACTGACCTCACAGTGGTAGAACCTATTAGAACCTTACTGTTGACCTACAGAATTATAGTACCCTAAGTGCTCATCCATACTATGTATTTATGGGACCTGCAAGCAACAAGCCTTTACCTGAAATAAGACCTTGGAGGCTGCTGGAGATCTGTTGTGCAGAGAAATTATGTGTTTTTGATTATCCTGTTCTCTCATCCTCTCTCTCTTGTGCATGTTCAGCAATAAAACTACAAAACATTGCTAAAGTGATCTCTGTCAATCTGTGTTACCCCACAGCAAGCCAGGGTTCCATCCCTAGGAAGTGAATGTGCTTGGGTGCCCAACCAGGAACTTAATTTGTTCCTCTTTTTTTCAATCTCTGCTTACCTGTCATTCTACTTTGTTCTCAGTTTGGATACTCGTATGTATCCAAGATCACCCTGTTGCGATCTGCACATCAGATGCAGTAGCCTGGGTCCTGCGACGCCACCTTGATCTTCCTCGGTCATTAGAAGCTGGCTGCTTCTTTCATGCTGCCTCTGTTGATGTATGCCAGCTCCAGCCACCAGTTGGCTACAACCTCCTAGGATATGTGACATGGTATCCCAGGAGGCTGAGGGAACAGCGATACCAGGGGCGGACTGACAACTCATGGGGCCCCCGGGCAATAGGGGATCATGGGGCCCCTGTGTCCTTGCCCAAACTCAAAAAAGCCTATGAAAAAGGTACCAGGGGCATCTCATGTTGCCCCCTACTGACCCCGGGCCCTCGGGCAGTGCCCGAGTTTCCAAATGGTCAGTCCGCCCCTAAGCGATACATTACATTCACCCAGACAAGAATAGAGTGGGGGTTGGAACAAAGCAAATAAAAGACTAAAAAAATAAAAGAAGGGCATCTGCCTTACTCTTATGAATACCTGAGTCATGGTTTAATTTGTAACACAATTTTGATGCATCTCCAGAACTTTATTTCAGACTTCAATAACTCTTTGGGCTTCATGATGCTGCTATTTGAATGGACTCTGACACTCGCTGATACGAGGGAACAGAAGTGGGTGGATCATGTGACCGAACCGGAGTAGATTAAAAATAAGTAAGTACACAGATCTTTTTTTATATGGGGTATGCATGATTGGTAGAAGGAGAGAACATTTTTAAGAATAGTTGATGTTAGGATTTTCTTCCACTTAATGCCCTTATGGAGTTTGGGTTTTTTTCCTCTCAGTGTCACTTTAAATATATAACTACACAGAAGAAATATGTATAAAGTAGTTTTTTAAAATGCCAAAAGAGTTCAAGTGTTAGGAAAATTCAGTAGGGTGTTCTCTTTTCTAGTGCTTATCCTCAGTCTAATCAGCCCTCCATTGAAGGCACACAATCTGTTCTCACAAAGTGTTATAATTCACCGTGTTTCTGTTCTTTCTGTTTTTTGCGAAACATTTAATAAAGCAAAGATGGGACAAAAGAGATTTCTAAGAACAGGTTTGAAAGGACACATTGCTTGTTAGTTACCTGTAAACGATCAGCTTCATTCCATGTTACCTTTATTCCACTGACTGAGAAAACTAAATCTATACCTTCATAGTAAATATTCAGGTTTGAATTTTTAAATGGGACGCGGGTGCTGTTGGAAATGGGAAAAGGAGGAAGAAAAAATAAATAAAATCAAGTGGGCATATAAGGATTTTTGTTTTACATTTGCATTGACCCTGTCAAGTAGTCAACAAAATTACATTTATTATGGGTGGTGCTATTGCTATTTGGGGAGAGGACTTCCCCTTAATGGTCCCTCATACTAGTTAAGCAACTTCTGTATGTATCATTATTGTCACTGTTGCATGATGAAAAAAATAGTGTTCAGGAGCCATAATGTTGCTTTTAATGACAAATAAAGCTGTGATTGAGCATACGACATTCTGGTAATAGCTACAAATGATTGATGCTTTTATGACAGCACCGAATGTTGCAAATAGTGACAATTGTTTTTTTGAATCTGTTTGGAGTGTACCATATCTTTCTCTGTATAAATAAAATGACCTAGGCCTCAAAGAAAAATCAGCATGTCAGCCCATTTGCTAAATCTTCACTATGTAGCAGAGTTCCTGCTTCCAATCTGATTTCAAACCTCTGCAATAGCATGTCCCCTGCTGGCCATTGTAGTTCTTTCCACTGACCCCTATACCAGTATTGTGTCCTGCAGTGACTAGGGGTCAGCAGGAGGAACCACAGAGGCTAGAGGTGGGTTTTGCTATTCAACCAGCCTAAGAAATGTAATTGAACCAGTGCTGGGAACTCCGCTAGAGGGTGTTTTAGCACATGAAAGATATGTAAAAAGTTGTTTTCTTTTCAGGGTATTATTATTATTTATATTTCTATAGCACTTTACTCCCTGGAGATGCAAAACACTTTATCTGCTGATGGGGCAGATATCTTGGGTGTACTCAGTAAAGTATCATACTAGGGCAAATTTTACATTGGAGCCAAATAACTTACCAACATGTCTATGGAATGTGGGAGGAAAATTAAGTACTGCATCAGAAAAAAAAAAACCATGCAAGCACAGGGAGAACATGCAAATAGTGTCCTGATTGGGAGTGCAAGGTAGAGATGGAAAGGTTAGTCCAGACCCAAAGCACGTAATAGAAATAGGAAGAGATACCCCAATCACCGCACACCTCAGCCGGCCCAAGTGGTTAGCATGTAAAAGCAGCTTAAGCTCGATTCATTCAAGCCATGCCCCCAACATGTTTCACGCCACCTCTGGTGCTTAACTGCTTTAGCACCGCCCCATAGCAGAAATACTGCTGCAGGGCGGCACATATATATGTGATTTTGCATTTCTGGGTAGGGGGCGTGTGCGAGCCCCATGCGTGCCCTACCTGCGCTGCCATTCGCAGCCGCGGCTGTCAATCACCGGGCCCGGACAGTGATTACTCGACGGTGCCCAGTGATTGCCTAGCATCTCCGATGGGGGGAGAACTTTTTGTAAACAAAGCAGTTCTCTCCCCTGTCAGCTCCTGCACACTGCTTTGCAGGGCTGTGCATAGCACAGCCCTGCAAAGCAGTGTGCTTACAGGAAGCACTAACAAAGCACACTTAGTAAAACAGCACACAGCACACATTTAGTCCTTTGATCGCCCCACATGTTAATCCCTTCCTGCCCAGTGACATTAGTACAGTGTCAGTGCTTTTTATTAGTACTGATCACTGTATTGGTGTCACTGGGGATGTCAATGGCATCAAGTCAGTTCCCCCCAGTGTCAGAATGTCTGCTGCAGTCCCTCAGTCCCACTATAAGTTGCTGATTGCCACCATTACTAGTCAAATATACACCGCAATTTGTAAACGCTATAACTTTCACGTAAATCAATTAATTTACACGTATTGGGATTTTTTTTTTAACAAAGACATGTAGCAGAATACATTGTGGCCTGAATTTATGACGAAATTTGATGTTTTACATTTTTTTACTGGACATGTTTAATAGCAAAAAGTAAAAAAATGTTTTTTTCAAAACTGTTGGTCTTTTTGTTTTTATAGCGCAAAAAATAAAAATCGTGCAGGCGATCAAATACCATCAAAAGAAAGCTCTATTTGCGGGAAAAAAGGACGTATATTTAATTTGGGTGCAGTGTTGCATGACCACGCAATTGTCCATTAAAGGAACGCAGCACCTTTTCGCAAAAAATGGCCTGGTCAGGAAGGGGGGTAAATTCTGATAAGGGTAAGTGGTTAATCATGGAGGTCCAGGGGGCAGGGCAAACCAATTTTATTGTTGGTAGACTGAAGTAAACTACTTCCATTGGCAGCAGCTTTTTGTCAGTATAGTTCTTAAACATAGGTGAGGGCATTGATCAAAAAGAGGTACCATAGTAACAAAAATATTAGTAGATGATAAAAAATGAATACAGAAAAACTGGTGTGACGCATATTAAAAGGTTTAATCCCTGTCAGTTTACTTATTGCTGTCTATGTCAAACTGTGGAGATTGTCCTCCACTTTCTGTCCCAGAGACACAACAAGAAGTTGTATACTTGTGATCTTTGCTTTTTTCCTGCCAGCTAAATAACCACCGAATAGGTGCCTTCCATTGGGAAAACCCTATGGAGTCTCAGTAAGGGCATTTACTCTCACTGCCCCCCCCCCAACAGAAGAATCATTCTTTTTACTAATATGCTTGCAATCTATGTAGTACATTTTTGGTTTCTTTACAAGCTGGTTGCTCATTGTAGTGGTTTCTTTAAGTCTTTCCTTATTACAGAAATTATTTCTGAGTATAGTAGTATACGGCTAAGAGAATGTGTAGGTTTTATTAATACTGCAAACCCATCTTAAACAGATTACCGTGTTACTGTAGTTTAAAAGGTTTTAAAATCTGCAGCTTTCTTTCAAATAATACATGGTGTTTCTGCCATAAAGATCCTTATTTAGGCACATCATTTTATAGGGTGACAATACTCCCTCCTCTCCCTCAAGTGTGCTCTGTGTTGTCACCCTGCCACATTAGCTTTCAATAGAGACTACAAGTGGCCATCTCAAAGCAGATTATGCAAGTAAACCATCAGAAAACCCACCCTAAGCAACACTATGCAGCCACCTCTGGAGTGCATGAATGTAGAGAAGCTGTACCACTAAGAAGCAGCAAAGGTGAAAAAAAAAAAGGTAAAGCAAGCATTTTATTACAAAAATTATACCAATAATTAATATCAACCAAATGTTATTCAGTTAGGGTGTACATCAACTTTCTTTCCCTGAAATATTGTCAAATACAAAATGACCTGTTGAAGAGTACCTGATGTCTACATATATTTTCCATTTTGTACCTCTGTAAATTTTAGAAGTAGTTGCATTTTAATATGATGTAAGGTGATTGGACCTGCAGTGATGTATGCAATATGGTGAAAGACGCAAGTCTTAATCAAAAATAAAAGTTCAAACTCAAATAATATTCTATACCAAAAAAAAACACCATACACCATTACATATCTCACCATCCAGTCTAATGTGTCTCTTAACGCTTTCAGCCTAGGTTCACATACATGCGATGCGAGAAACGCATTGAATCCTGTGCATTTCCTCCACCGCATCCAAACCTTACTGTGTTCATGCAATCTAGTGCAGGTGTCATTGTTAAGTTAGTGACACCCCAAAAACAGGTCACAAACCCCAGTGTGATTGCCAGAATCGGATTGCATGGATGTGAAGAAAAAAAAGCTTTTTGAGCAGGTGCAGTGCATTTTGAGCCATACAAAATTAATTGGCTCAATTGCACTGCAAAGAATCGCAAGTGATTTAAATAGGAATGCAGTGTGATTCCTATCCAAATCACATGGGGTATCCTGCACCGCATATTCCTGAACCCAGGCTCATACTACGTGTACTTAATTATGACCAGCGCTCAGACCCCTAACATTTATTTTAGCAATTATTTCTGTAAAGTGCTACATACTATATAGTGATCACATATAAATATAAGTATATATAAGCACATATTAAGAACATAACCACATATTAAGCGCTGTGCAAACTGTTGGTGATGTATAATTCCCGTATAATAATAATAATATAAGTGCACAATTACAATAAAAAAGTGCAAAAATATGCAAAGATTATTTTTTGTGCTCAATAAAGTGCTTTATAGTGCTAAACCAGTGTCCATAATTATCACTGCATTCGTGTCCATACAAAGTGTCACACTTCTTGAGAAGTGTAACACATATATATGTAACATTTAGTAACATCTTAATGTGAATGTCTAGCTGAAATTCTTTTGTTTGTTTTGAATAGAGTAAGGAAGGGTTAAAAACCCTAAGGGGTTATTTTTTGCTATCTGTGCCCTACTGGGGAGATTTCCCTTCACTTCCTGTCCTGGTGCCAAAAGAGGAAATGATAAGAAGTCTCATCAAAGTGACGGTTGTCACATTTAACAGTAGATTCCTCTCACCCTTTGCTCTGGTGACAGATCAAAAAATTTGAATTCCCCCTTACCTTCTGTCTAGGTAACAATACCAACCAAGACATACAGAAGGACAAATTTACCAAGCAGGGGCACAGATAGCAATAGAAAGTAAAATTGGCACAAAGAGAAACCAGCACACCAGGTTCCAGTTTTATTCTTTACTAGAGGATTAGACCAGTGTAAGATTTCAGAGACATGATACCCCACTTGGTTAAATGCCCCATTCTGTCTGGTACCTTGACAAAGAGTACCATCATGTCCCTAAAACATTACCTTGGTCTCCTGGAACTCCAATAAAGAATCAAACCGGAGCCTGGTGTGCTTACATTTCTTCTTGGAAATAAAATCCTACACATGGACTAATCCTTCCCTTTTGCATTTACATACACTTTAAACATGTTTTCAACTTTCAGTTCACAACACACCAGCCACTGGTCCAGGAGGCTAGAATAGCGATGCAAGGGTACTTTTATTTGTCCTTGATGTTGTAAGTAGTAGCCTACTACTGATTAATAGACCAAAATGAGAGTAAATAAGATAGTTGTTAGGGTTTAATACACTTTTTAATAAACACAAGCACCAGTTAGACATTTAGTCTTTGAAACAAATACTTACTTTTTATGATTGACATATATCCCTGTCATGTTTGCCTCAATCCATTGAAAAAACAACTGCATGGAAATATGGTCAACATGAGATTCATTGCCTATCATTGCACGGTGGATGAGGATTCTAAAGTCTTCCTTAAGTGCACTGCATTCTCGTGCTAAAATATATGTACAGTTTCCAGTACTGGAAAAATGATATCCATCAAATGTGTTATAGTGTCCATTTCCCCAAGTGCTGCAGACATTTTCATTATTGGTTGTCACTGGAAGAGAACCATACACATCAATTAGTGACAACGTATTGTAGTGTTGTATTAAGTTCCATATCCATACCTACCCTCCTTCGAGTGAATGTGTGGGCAGTGTGGCTACAGTGCATTTTGGGAATTCATACCTGATATGCATGAAACATATGTATGTGGAGCAAGCAGGGTGCTCATAGGGCTGATCAGCATTAGAGTAGGCCCAAGTGTAAAAGACAACAGGCTAAACTCTCTTGTGTGGCGACAAATGCAAAATAAGCCTTGAATCCACAAATTATTGGTAGGAACAACACATTGGAAAGTAATGTAAATTTGTCACAAATGTCAGACTGATAAAGAGAGATGGATAAATAATGTCAGGTTTTCGAAAGACAATTTAACAAACCCCTGGAAACTCTAATCAGGATAAGTGCAGTAGCCAATTACCAGCTCAAAACAAAATTCATAGTTGTTGATCTGACATCAGTTATTGCCCAACCCCGGGATATGTAAAAATGATCCCTTGCAGTGGGCTGCGCCTGCACTGAATGTGTGAACTGCTCGTTTAGTCTTGGGAAGAATTTGCGCACTTTAACATACCTGATCCTCCATTAACTTGGCAGATGGCGCTCCTCTATGCTTCGGAGGTGAATTGTCCCTCAGTGGCATCATGATCCCTGCGTTGGTCTTGATGATATCAGGATCTTAGACCGCATCAGGGAGAAGATGTTGAGGGGGCTTGTCTAGCAGCACAGAGAAGGGGAGGATTGGGTATGTAGATCTTCTTTCCCATGTTCCCTAGACCTAAATGAGTAATTAACCCTTTCAGTATGGCCACATTCTCACTGCAACAGATCATTTTTAAGTTTCCCAAGCTGGGTTTTAAGTTAACTCTGGCTGTTTCACATCTTTGGTCCCTTTTTCACTGTGCTACAGTGTAAGCCTAAAGGCAGTTCCTTTCAAATCTATGTGCCATTTTTCAGACAAATCTGAACAGAAGCTCAATTATAATCTATGGACAGGTGAATGAATATAAACAATGTGTCCGTTTATATCCGATTACCTTAGAATTCATCATCGATTTGCTTCCTTTTCTTTTTTTTTTTACCTAAATGCGACAGCTCGGTGGTAAAGAAATGCAAACAGAAGCAAGTCCATTTACATCGCTCTGGCCATAGAGCTAACATGGATCTGTTAAAGTCATGTGTAAACCCTAACCTTGTAAAACAACCCATTCAGTTTAAAATAAAAATGAAAGGCAAAACATTTGTGTATAGATATGAAAAAAAACATAAATACCTTTTTTCCCTTTGTTATAAGTGATCATATATGGTCTGTTCTCAGCTGCGTAAGTGCTAGGGGAGGAGAAACAGCAGCACACTGATCTTTCCAGTGATTGACTGTGCAAGGGAGAGAGTGTCAGGACAAGTCTGATCATTGGAGGAGAGCACGCTAAGTTCCCAGCATAGCTAGAG